ACTAATAACTGTTGGGCCTTGAAGAACAAAATACAAGACCTCATTGAAGAAAAAGAAATTGAGTTTGATGCGCCTGAGAAGCCAAATGTCATTTCTGCTCCTATGCCCAGACATGGTCACAACATCAATGCTATTGAAGAAGATTTGTTTGTTACCACAGTTGACGAACTCGTGACTCCACTCCCAACCATTAAGATAAACCCGTTGAAAGCTGGCGTATTCTTGGGTTGTAATGAAGACTTCCACCTCTGCTTATCCTCACCAACTGATTTCCCTTTGTTGAAAATAAGCATTCAGCGCTTGATAGACAACAAAGAGATTTTGTTTGAAAGTACTTCTGTTTAACCTGTTCCTGTTGAAAATGTTTCAATCATTACCATCTCCGCCAATTCTTCCAGGCTCCCCAAAATACCCGTTAGAATTACATCGGTTCTGAAAACTACTCCTCTAATAATCATAAGGCCTGGGCCAGTCCCATATGAATCAGACAAAACTGTGCCGTGGAATTACGGTGGGGACATTTACTACCATGGCATCAAACAAGATGGGCCGGCCACTGAAGAGATAAACTCCGAAGAAGAAGATTCTGACATTAGCAATATTTTCGGAACTAGTAAAATTACCCGAAGCGGTAGGATCTTTTCTCCAGAAATTTCCCCCCTAAAGGCAGTTTTTGGACCTGTGGCTGCTCCAAAGGTTACTTTCGTACCCATAATCATCTCTTCAAGTGCTCCTATTGACGAAGCCGTTACAACCCCTGTTGCCATTCCTACCAACACTCCTGCGGCTGAAACTCGAGGAAAAAGTATTCAAGTGGAGCTTGTCCAGACGAAGGCTCAATCACTGACTATCCCCGAGACATCCAAGAAAGAAATGGAGGAGATCCTTAAAATTATAAAGAGGAGCGACTACGACGTAGTTGAACAGTTGGGGAAAACTCCCTCCAAAATCTCCATGCTGGCCTTACAACTATGTTCTGAGGCACATGCGAAAGCCTTGGTGAAGTTCCTAAAGACAACCCATGTGCCTCAAGAGACGTCTGCTGATTAATTTCAAGACTGCGTGGCCAGCTTGATAGTGGATAACGACCTAGGCTTCTCGGATGCTAATATGACACCAAGGGGAAGAAAGCACAACGAGGCATTGCATGTCTCTGTGGAATGTAGGGACACCACTCTGGCCCATGTCTTAGTGGACACTGGCTCATCTTTGAATGTTTTACCGAAAAAAGCTCTTAACAGACTTGACTACGAAGGACTGACGTTAAAGCCAAGTAACATAGTAGTAAGGGCATTTGATGGCTTTAAAAGGATGGTACACGGGGAGGTGGATATCCCCATAAAGGTTGGGACTCAAACTTTCAATTCAACCTTTTAAGTAATGGACATCCTCCATTCGTACTCTTGCCTGCTAGGACGGCCATGGATCCATAATGTCGGCACTGTCACCTCTACATTTCACCAGATGATGAAGTATCCGGTTCAAGGAAAGATTATCACTGTCCATGGAGAGGAAGAATACATGATTAGCCATCTCAATTCCTTCAGGTATGTGGAATTGGACGACGAGTTCATTGAAACTCCTTTTCAACACTTCGAAGAGGTCCCCCAAGAGGTAGCAGTGACCAAGACTGTGTCCCAGATTCTCAAGATTACAAGACCTCCACTCTGGATGTCATCTCTGAAGGACGCCAAAGCAGTAGTAGAAGAAGCTGGATGCACCATCTGGGGGAAACTTCCGGATATCCCATATAAGTCTGACAAGTTTGGCTTATGTTTCAATTCAAGTGCTCAAAAGGCTGTACGCCGTTCCCGTATTGGAGGGCCACCCTTGAGGATTAGCAACCTAGAGGTCAACGTGGTAGAATATGGTGAAGAGGATTGGAACTTGGAGGATTGGATCTTTCCGACTATCAATGGAGGACTCCGCAATTGGGAGGCTAGAGACTTCGTCCCAATAACTTTCATCCCTCAGTAATTTATCTTTACATTTTGTTGGATCTGTAATATTCAAAAACAATTCGCACTCTTAAATCCTTGTGTCTTGCCCGAGGCACAATGGTCCATTTGTAAGGGTTATTATTTCATCTTCATATGACATTCAACGAATCATGGACGTTTTTCGCATACAAACTTTTATGCTCATTGTTTTTCTTTTACATTTTATTTTTAAGGATGGCTATACCCTTACACACACCCACACTCATAAATGCAGGTACCCCTCCATTATGGATCCCATGGGTAACGTTACTGCTATGGCCTTTTGTGACTCTGAGGATCTAATCTACCAAGCCGAACACGAAGGTGAGGAAGATTGTGAAGTACCAGGGGAACTTGCCAGACTACTACAACAAGAGGAAAGAACCATTTAGCCTCACGAGGAACCTGTGGATACAATCAAACTGGGTACCGAGGAGGATAAAAAAGAGGTAAAGGTGGGTGCCAATCTGGAACACAGTGTCAAGGAGCGTCTGATTCAGCTGTTTCATGATTATGTTGAAATCTTTGCCTGGTCATATTAAGACATGCCAGGACTTGATACGGACATCGTGGTACATCGTCTGCCTACAAGAGAAGATTGTCTTCCAATAAAACAAAAAGTTTGCCGCATGAGACCTGATATGTCAGAAAAGATTAAAGCGGAGGTCATGAAGCAATTCAATGTTGGATTCTTGGATGTCACTTCCTACCCTCAATGGGTTGCCAACATTGTTCCCGTACCTAAAAAAGACGGTAAAGTACGAATGTTGTGGACTATAGAGATTTGAATAGGGCAAGCCCTAAAGATGATTTTCCACTCCCCCACATTGATATCCTTGTTGATAATACGACACAACACAAAGTGTTTTCCTCCATGGACGGATTCTCAGGTTATAACCAAATCAAAATGGCACCTGAGGACATGGAGAAAACAAAATTTGTCACACAGTAGGGCAAATTCTGATACAAGGTGATGCCATTCCGATTGAAGAATGCTTGCGCAACCTATCAGCGCGCCATGGTAGCTTTATTTCACGACATGATACATCATGAAATAAAGTTCTACGTAGGCGATATGATAGCCAGATCACAAATAAAAGAAGAGAACCTTGACCACTTACAAAAGCTGTTTGAGAGACTGAAGAAGTACAAGCTGAGGTTGAATCCAAACAAGTGAACATTTGGAGTACGATCCGGTAAACTCCTAGGCTTTGTCGTTAGTAACAAAGGTGTTAAGGTCGATCCTGCAAAAATTAAAGCAATACAAGAGATGCCTGCTCCTCGTACTGAGAAGGAAGTCAGAGGATTCTTGGGACGCTTGAACTATATTGCCAGATTCATTTCTCATCTAACAGCTACTTGTGAGCCAATCTTCAAACTATTGAAGAAAGATCAAGTAGTCAAATGGATTGATGAATGCCAAGTTGCTTTTGACTTAATCAAAGTATAATTACAAGAACCTCATGTATTGATTCCACCAGTCGAGGGAAGACCTTTGATCATGTATCTGACTATTTTAGAAAACTCGATGGGGTGTGTATTGGGGCAGCATGATTGTAGCGATAAAAAATGTAGCGGGGTAAATCGGAGATCGAATTATTGATTAATTCGTCTCACAAAAGCAAGAGTCGCCACCGCGCTTTATTGTTTCCAAAGGAAAAGGGAAGAGAGCGAAATAAAACCCTAAATATGCAATGTAAATAATACTTTTAGAAGTAATAAGAATACAAGGCGTTTTTGAAAAGAGATCTATGGTTCGGGGGTTGGTTATACAATGGGAAGGTATTAGCACCCAATGCATCTATAGTACTCTATAGGAACCTTTTGAAATATCTGTTTTATTTAAAATTGATTGCTTGATTTGAAAATAAATCGTTTTGGCCGAAAAAGGGATACGGACGGGTTTTTGAAAATACGACAACCTAACGTTGAGGTTTTGACTTAAAAGGTGTGAGTTTTGGAGAAATCGGATATTTGGAAAAATTATCCTAAGTTTCAATGAAATGAGGGTATTCGCTTGATCGTTTTTTTTTGAGGACATGAAGTCAACAAAAATTAGACAATTCCCTTTGGATTGACGCAAACAGAATAATCAAGTAAATGCGAGATATTTAAACAGAAAATGATACACAACAATTAAATGTGAACATGCATTTTATATGATTTTGTTTAATATGCGAAAAGAAAAAGTTTTAATTGATTACGCATTTTAACATGGACGAGAATTAATAGAAATGTTTTTTAAGGTTTTTTATATTTTTCTATTTTTTATGTTTTTATTATATTGATATTTAAACAAAAATGAGGGGAATAAAATAAAATGTTTTTTAGTCTTCATTTTCATATATTTTTTTTAGAGATATTAAATATTTTTTTTGAATTAAATCAAACCATGAATTTAAAAATGAATTAGAAATAAGGCAGGTTAAGGTTATTTAAAACTTAAATTTAAACTAAATGATATTTGAATAAAATATATTAAAGATTATTTATTTAAGATTATATGCTATTCCTAAAAACTAACTAATTTAAATTGATTAAGTTAAAAAAATGAAATAACATTAACTAAAGAGTAAATAAAGGTGAGGTGGATAATAATTAACAATGGGCCTAAGTGTAAGAAACGAATTGGATTGGGTTGAGGAGTGGAGCGGGTCGGGTCAATGAAGAAGAACACAGGAAGGAAACACAAAGCTTGTAACAAGAAAACCCTAAGAACTGAGGGCACCAATGGCCGCCGCCGCTGGATTCAACAAAAACCCCTCCATCGCCTTTGCATCTCACCTCCGGGACAACAACAACGCCACAAATCGAAGCCAGAACGCAAGAGGGAAAAAAGGAAACGCAGAAAAGAAAAGAGGAATCGGTGAAAGGGAGCGGTTCGAGGAGTCGTTCACGGTAAGCCTCGATGTCTTTTTCTTCTCTCTTCCTAATTCAATCTCTTAACTTCTATCATCGTTCTATCTCATGCTTCTCATGTGATTTTCTTCTTCGTTTTTGAGTTTCATTTCGTTCACTTCATTATCTAACTTCTGCATTTCCACCTGCATTTTTGAAGCTTCTTCTTTTTTGCTTTAGAGAATCTCTAGCCATGACAATTGCTTGGTAGGGGGTTCTAACAAAATTTGGATCTTCATTTTCTTTTGGCGCATTGCCCTTTGATTTTCTTGCAGCCACTATCGCAGAAGACATAGGCCTTGTTTTCTTATTGTGATCAAGTTGTCGTAAAGCTAACGCATCATAGGGATCCCTTCGCGATTCAACTATAGCAGCGGGAGCTAGCCCAACTTCTTCGCTCAAACCAATGAAGTGTTGCGGAAAAGAATGCGAATTCACTATTTGTGTATCATTCAACTCATGATTTTCTCCTTCAGAGAACAGAAATGAAAAGCCTCTATGCCTAAAGTCAGATTTTGAAGAAGCAAAAATAGACAAAAACTGATTAACAGAAATCCCCAATTGGAAATCCCACCATGGCACTAAGAATTCAAGTTTATTTTTCTTCCTTCTGCAAACTTGTCTTTGAACAATCCTTAGATTGCTTAGAACAGTCAAGCCTCCCCTTGAACAAGGAAACCAATGATCAAAATCCCAAGCAAGAGGAGAAGAGATGGGTGGAGAAATGGGAGGACATGACTGTTGAGATATTGATTATTATTATTTGTTAGTATCGTTTAGGATTATGATAAGATAACATTCCTATATAAATTACATTGCACATTTATATAAATATTTGTTCAACCCTTTTTATAGTTAATGAGATTTAAATAGGACCAAATGCAGTTTCATCATTCCTGCACTATTTATCAAAGATAACATATTTGCTCTATTACCTATTTTGTATTGCTCAAGTTAACTTACTTTCGGATTCTTGATTGCAGTTACTGCAACTCTGTTAAATTTTATAAGGATGTTTCTCAAAGCACATGATGAGAATATCAAACAAGCAGAATTAGAGAAGAAGAAAGCTGAGAAAGAGGCTGAAATGGAGAAGGGTAAAAGCAGTGGTTTGAGAAGGAAGAGTAAAAAAAGATAAAGAAGAAGAAAGCTGAGGAAGAGGTTGAAACGGAGAAGGCTAAGAACGTTGACTTGAAATGGAAGAGTGCAGAAGAGATTATTGACAACAATGAAATATTTGAGAAGTAGAGAAATGTCACAGTAGATATAATCCTTATGATGCCATGAAAAATCTTAGGACCAAAACAACAATGTGATAATAACGGTGTTACCTGTCCGAAAGTTATCGGAGTGACGACTCCTCGAGGTAAGTCTCTTCTCTTCCCCCTTCTAATAGTATGCTGCAAATCTTGTGTCTTGTTGTTGAATGAAGTCCTGTTGTGTTTTTCTGAAAATTTCTAGTGTGGCACAATTTTGTGGTTTTGGTCTCTAATCCATTGTTTAGCAAATAACAGGCTATGTTGAAAATAATGGACTATTGTTTGTATAGTCTAGATGCAGGTTATGCCATATGCAGGATGGTTTTGGGATAGTGTTTTTAGAACTTGTGCAGGATTTTTGATATGCAGGATGGTTTTTGGATAGTATCTTTAGAACTTGTGTGGATTTGTTGTTGGGTCTGCTGGCTTATCAGGTTGGATCCCTCTTTGTTTTCTTTTTGTTATCTAATATAACAGTTCTCTCCTTCCTCTTGAACGCCACAGATTGAAAAAGTTTGAAAATATGCTGCTGGGATTTCTGAGCACTCTGCACCCCTGTCCCCCCAATTTGTCTCTACTCCTCTTTTGTGTTATTAATTATACTGGCTATATTTTCTTGGTTTGTCTTGTATATCTCCTTATGCTTATGCTAAACCTGCAAAACCAATTCTCTATCTCTCTTTCTTTTCTCTCAGCATAGCTTTGATAAAAAAATGATAAGCTGTACACTTCTGAAACTGTAATGGCCAGAAAATGATGAAAAAAGGAAATTTCATATTGCTTGCAAGTATGGTCAAACTGCATGTTTCTTTTAATACAAATTCTGTTTTGTTTCTGCTAGTGTAGGCAAACGTCCAAGTGACATGCTTGCACATTAGTTACTACATATTTGTTGCTTATGCTGTATGCTTTGAGATTACATTTGGGATTAAAAATTAAAGTGACTAGCTTAAGTATGCAGTTTTTTTTGGAAAATAATTTATGCATATGCTTTAAAATCCCTTTCTTTTTTTTTTTGTGAACCGGGAGTAATCCCGTGATTTGCAAAAAATAAAATAACTGATTCCGGCCATTACATTTAATGATGAACATTAAAATTTATTTTCTGCATTTAATTATTTATTTGAATTCTAATTCTTTTCTTTTAATTGTGCAGGTAAAATTAAATGAGCGGACACACATTGGATTGGAAGCTTTAGAATTAAGATAGACTAGTTTATTTTATTTTAATTTCGACAATTCATTATTGTAATTTATTGCAATATATACAATAATTTACAAAATAGCTTGTACCAAAAAAATGAATAAAAGAAACTATTTGTCTATTAATTCTTCTTCTTTATTTATTTATCGTTTATTATTTTATCCAAACGAATAATAATTGAAAACAAATCTCCAATCACCTTCATTCAAAATAATAACAGATAAATAATAATAATCATTGACCAACTAATACCTTCGATTATTTAATCCATCATTCTCAACTAAATTATAATAATTAAAATAGGATTTCAATTATTTAATCTAGACCGACGAACGATTAAACAGTCGTTATTGACCGATGAATTTCCTCAAATGCTTATTTATATTATTCATAACCTTTAAATTATAGAATAACTAAGAATAAATTCTAGTTACTTAAATTTAAAAATAATGAGTAAATAAATAAAACGTCCGCACAATTAATACGCCTCTTCTCTGATGTTCATTTTATTATCCCTACATCTTTAAACCAAATAATAATCAAAAAAATGAATTTCAATTATTCAAGTTTTAGATAATAGATAATTAATAAACATCATTTTCGCACGAATCGATTAAATGATTCAATGTTCAGCATAAATAGTTCTTGGCCCGAAAAAGTCATGAAATTTAAAATCGATGGATCAAAACAAATGTAATGTAAAGATGCGGATAGGAGATGACGCCTTAGGTCAAAATTTGGGGTACAACAATGATGAGTCTGGCCAAAAAGAGCACGCTATTTATTACCTGAGCAAAAAATTTACCGACTGTGAAACCAGATATTCACTGCTCGAGAAAACTTGCTGCGCTCTGGCATGGGCTTCTCGCCGGCTAAGACAGTATATGCTGACTCATACTACCTTGTTGATATCTATGATGGATCCGATAAAGTACATCTTCGAAAAGCCTGCTCTTTATGGGAGAATAGCTAGATGGCAGATGATCTTGACAGAGTATGATATACAATATACTACCCAGAAAGCTATAAAGGGCAGTGTGCTAGATGATCATCTTGCTCATCAAGCTGTAGAAGACTATCAGTCCATGAAGTTTGAATTCTCGGATGAAGACATCATGACAGTAGACAATTGTGAAGAATTCAGGCCGCATGACGGACCTGAACAAAGATCCCGATGGACCCTGTTCTTTGATGGGGAATCCAACGCACTCGGAAATGGTATCGGCGTTGTACTCATATCTTCGGAAGGGTGTCGCACTCCCTTTACTGCCAGACTTTGCTTCAACTGTACAAACATCATGGCAGAATATGGAGCATGTATCTTTGGTCTCAAAGTTGCCATAGACTTGGGGATCAAATCATTGGATGTATTCGGAGACCCACCTTTGGTCATTAGTCAGATCAAAGGGGATTGGGACACCAAACACCCAAACCTTATCCCTTACAAAGAACATGTTTTGACATTGCTACCACATTTTGAGAAGATTACCTTCGAGCATTTCCCGCGAGAAGAAAATAAGCTAGCAGACGCTCTAGCCACAATGTCATCTATGTTTAAACTTAATTGGGATAACGAGGCTCCCCAAATCACCATCGAACGAATGGATGAACCAGCACACTGTCACGAGATTAATACTGAAGAGGTAGTGGACCAGCCTTGGTTTCATGAAGTCAAGAGGTATCTCGAGGCTCAAGAATATCCATAAGGAGCTTCAATAAATGATAAGAAGTTCTTAAGGAGATTCTCTGCTAAATTCTTCCTTAGTAATGGCATCCTGTACAAACGCAATCATGACTCCATTTTGCTTCAGGGTGTGGATAAAGTTGAAGCTGAAAAGATCATGGTTGAATTACATGAAGGTACTTTTGGAACCCACTCCAGTGGGCATACGATGGCGAAGAAAATCCTACGGGCAGGCTATTATTGGTCTACCATGGAAGCAGATTGCTATCAACATTCTCGAACCTGTCATAAGTGCCAAATTTATGCTGACAAGGTGCACGTACCTCCGGTTCCTCTAAATGTCTTGACGGCTCCTTGGCCCTTTGCTATGTGGGGAATTTATATGATTGGAGAGATCAAGCCTACAACCTCCAATGGACACCGCTTCATCCTAATGGCCATTGACTATTTTACAAAATGGGTTGAAGCAGCTTCCTTCGATTTCGTTACCAAGAATGTTGTTGCCCGCTTCATCAAGCAAAACCTTATTTGCCGGTATGGTATCTCAGAAAGGATCATCACTGACAATGGTACAAATATCAATAAAACTATGATCACCGCTTTATGCGATAAATTCAAGATTCAACATCATAATTCTCCTCCCTATCAGCCAAAGATGAATGGTGTTGTCGAAGCTGCAAATGAAAACATTAAGAAGATCATACAGAAAATGACAGTCACTTACAAAGACTGACATGAGATGTTACTGTTCGCTCTCCACGGTTATCGTACCACGGCTCGCACATCAACCGGGGCAACACCCTATTCTTTAGTTTACGGCATGGAGGTTGTCCTACCTATTGAGGTTCAGATCCCCTCTATGAAAATTATGAAGGATGCAGGGTTGAATGAAGACAATTGGATCCATACTCGACTTGATCAACTGAATTTGATTGATGAAAACTGACTTACTGCTGTTTTCCATGGTAAAATGTATCAAAAGCGATCAAGGCTTTCAAACGTTCCTATGAAGTGATCCCAGAGGAAAATGGACTCCTACCTATGAAGGACCATTTTTAATCAAAAACTTTTCTCTGGTGGGTCAATGATCTTGACCACCATGGATGGCGACGACCTGCCACACCCTGCAAACGCGGACATAGTCAAAAGATACTATGCATAAGAGACCCGCTAGGTTGACATATTTAGGCAAAACAAGGGCATCCCGACGAACCAAAAGGTTCGGGAAAAATTAGGGATAAAATAAAAAAAAATTTGTACACCAGGCAAGTTGAAAACCCGAAAGGGCAGTCCAGGCAAAAGTTAGGGAATTAAAGCGTATGACTATGTTCCGTCAGATCACTTGATGGACAAACTTTGACTTCCACTAACAAGCTGAGAGTTTCTGATCAATTCAATCATCTTCGGACAAGGCACAAATAGACAGGAGACTCGGAGATGCGAAGGCTATAGCAGGATGGAAACCCCATGGATTTTTTTATACATGTAGCTATCTTTTCTTTGTATCAGAATTTCTACGACAGCATTCTCTTACTAGAATGTTTGTCGCCTTTGTATAAAATGTTTATTCAAAGTCAATACAAAGATATCCCTTTGAAAGTGCAAAAAACTATTTGTCTTTTTCTTTACGCTTGTGTTTTATTTACAAAAACGTCCAATGATTCATTGTTGAACAT